CCCCAAAACCCCAAAACCCCAAAACCCCAAAACCCCAAAACCCCAAAACCCCTTTTCTAATAAAACAGGTTGATTTTTCAATAATTTTTATATTTCGGCTAGAAATTAGGAAGCAAATGTCAGTATCAGTAAATGATGAGTGAATGAGCTAACACAATAATTTCTGCTAGCTAAACAAATTCTTTTATGTATTTACTGTCAGACGAAGCATAAAGACAAGAGTAATTGTGGGCATAATCCTTAGGAAAAATTGTAGCGATTATTTTTCTTTTCCATCTGCTTAAGGTAGAATTAAAGTTCTTTTCTTTACAAAAGGTATCCAGCAGCTCTTCCAGACTGTCATGATCATGAGGAGATTGCAGCAAGCACTTTACCTTTAGCAATCATATTTGCGACTTTCTAGTCAATAGTTCTTTTTTCTTGCTTGGCCTTGAGCTTATCCTTGGCGTGGCCTTGAGCTTATCCTTGGCGTGGCCTTGAGCTTATCCTTGGCGTGGCCTTGAGCTTATCCTTGGCGTGGCCTTGAGCTTATCCTTGGCGTGGCCTGATCTCTTGATGGTGGCTGCCTTACCAGACAAGTCAATACCATAATGTTGGAAGTACCAGTTTCTGAATAGAGTTGAATCAATTTGGACAATAGCATTCTTGACAAGGGTCTTAGTTCTGGTGAGCTCGTTATTGGTAGCATTGTATACAGTATTATAGTTTTTTGTTTTGAAGGACACACTTTCGGACTGCCAAGGATAGTTTAATAGCTCTGTGTTTAAGGTTGCCTCCTCTTCCCCTGACTATACTGATTTTTTCTTTCCGAGTTTAGTTATGGCTGGTTGTCTTCCCATTTCAAACTTTCTCTTTTTCTTGTGGATTTGCATTTTACCACCGGACACTTTCTTCTTGTATCTTTAGTCTCTTGAAATACCCATGTTGAATTTTTATATTTCTTGGATTAATAATATTAAAAATTCATTTTATAAATTGATAACTGGGGTTTTGGGGTTTTGGGGTTTTGGGGTTTTGGGGTTTTGGGG